TACCATTATTCTAAAAAATTGTTTGATACAGTAAGATTTTCTACCGCACATTCACCAAATAAAATATTTTACACACAAACCAATAAAATTAATTTATTTTTCAACCATACATTCTCCAAAAATATTATTCATTACTCTATATTTCTCCCAATAATGGGAGACAAACACACTCTTGATTGGCAACTGTGCATTTTTTTTCTACAAATGGAGCAAAAATGCGGAACAAACAAGCTTTTAATTTTTCGTTTCTTTATTTACTTTTACTTGTCTTAAGGTAGTCTTTTCATAACATTTTAGCTATCTTGCTTTGAATAAAACATTGAAACTTCAAAATCTACTTGGAAATTTGATCCTTTGAAGCAAGCAATACAATATGTAAAATTTTCTTTATAATTGGTAGAGGATGTAACAACTATTCACCAACTAATAGAGTAGCCTTTCTTCAAAGACTTTTTAGAAAAGTCAAAACCAACCATTAGCTGCCACCTGTCACAAATTATTCAATCAAATTGGACTGTCAGCTAATCTCTTCAGCCTCATGTGAACCAAGCAATTCTCTCAAGATGGCTTTTTTAATAGGGAAATGGCACATAATCGTCTTTACAACAATAGTTTATTGATATGTGATTATTATGTTAGCGTCCATGGGCGTGCCAATAAACAAAAACCAAAAATTAAATAAATTTGTAAGTATATTATTATTTTTTCTTGAATTCTATTCACTACAGCAAAATAAACATAGTAATAATTCTCCTAGTTTCTTGAGTTGCTTTTACATAACAATTACGTTCTATTCGATGAAAGCCTGAAATGATAATTCTCGTGCACAGTATCAAAAGTTTAATCAATTAAAATCGAACTCGAACCAATTAGTATCAAAATTCCTTGACAAGAACTGTATGAACTTAAATTAGATTTAAAACCTAAAATTTATACTTTTCATGTACTTTCAAATACGACTTTCTGTAAATTCTTCTCGTGTTTTCTAAATTTATAGTTGTTTAGCATTTCACTCCAAAGCACAGCATAGAAGAGAGAGAGAGAGATGAACATTGCCTAAGGGCGGTACCAAATCCTTTTGACTTCAACTCATTCATAACACACTTCCTTCTCGTCTATATATACTGAGGTCATCTTCTCATTAGGACCTACAACTTTCAATTTTATCTCTAAAGTTTTCTTCATCTTCTGAAAGTTTCATATAGTTTCTTAGTAATATTATTCTCAATATTCAAAGTCATCAAGACCTCGAAATTATCAATGGGAAGATCACCTTGTTGTGAGAAAAATAGTGTCAAGAAAGGTCCATGGACCTCTGAGGAAGACATGAAACTCATTCAATACATTCAAGAGCACGGTGCATGCAATTGGCGATCTCTTCCAAAAAATGCTGGTAAATATGATTAATAATCCTTTTGTCTTCTTAATTATGTTTTATCTTGTAATGATGATTGAACATTTTTGTGTAGGGCTTCAAAGATGTGGAAAAAGTTGCCGTCTTCGTTGGACAAATTACTTAAGACCTGGTATAAAGAGAGGAAGATTTTCATTTGAGGAAGAAGAAACTATTATCCAGCTGCATAGTGTTCTTGGCAACAAGTAATATATCTCTCAATCCTTTTTCTCATTAATTAGTTTCACAAAATTAATAGAGAAATAGGTTACATGTATACAATTTTTTCTTATCATGCTTTACTGGACCTGAATTTGTTTCCTCCGATGATAAAGGTGGTCTGCGATTGCGGCTCGATTGCCTGGAAGAACAGATAATGAAATCAAGAACTACTGGAACACTCATATAAGAAAGAGACTTCTTCGAAACGGTATTGATCCGGTGACTCATGCTCCACGCCTCGATCTTTTAGATCTCTCATCACTGTTAAACTTGCCACAGATTAATCTTTCGCATCTACTCCGACTTCAAACCCTACTAAATCCAGAAGCCCTAAGGCTGGCAGCTAGTCTTCAGGAAAATCCTGAACTGCTATTGACAAAACTTCAGGAAAACCAATTATTCAACGCTCAATTGCAAAACCAAACCCCCGTTTTCCAAACTGACCAATTTCAAAACACTTTTGATCCACAAACCCCTCTTTGCAATCCATCCACTGATGTTCCTGTAACTACCTCAGTTTCTAATCAATCTCATCTCATGCAAGGGAATATGGGACAGTTCTCTATGAACACAGAAAGTTTAAGTGGCCAAACATTTCAAAATAATCTAACAACTACATTTGAAAGTGTCCCTTTTATTGAAAATTTCTGTTTTGGGGCTTCTGACCAAAAGCAGCAAGATTTATCAGAAAACATAAGTTTTCAGTCCTTGAACAGCGGGAGCCATAGCAGCAAAAATTTCAGTTTTGATTCAGTTTTATCGACACCTCTCTCGAGCCCAACTCCTCTAAATTCAAGCTCAACATATATCAATGGAAACACAGAAGATGAGAGAGAAAGTTATTGCAGTAGCCTGTTAAAGTTTGAAATACCAGAGAGTTTAGATTTTGATGATTTCATGTAAACACTCACACATTTCATCCCACTTGTATTTTTTAGGTAATTGTGATGGCGCAATCTTTTACTTTGTGTCAAGTCCTTCCAGGTTTTAGTTTTGCTTGATAGTTAGCATTTTTGTAAGCTAGTTTACATATACTAGCAGTTTGTTGTTTGTATATTACATTTTCTAATATTATAAACTTTCTTCCCATGTAGTTGTAATATCAACATTTAATTGATTCTTACACCAAACTCCATCTATTTGATTAGCAAATTCGTCAATTTCTAAAAATTTCGAAATTGGATCATAAAATAGGAAAAAGGACAATGACGTAACTTTATTTTAAATATTATAAATCTTATGAAGACAACCTTAATTCGGAACAGAGACAAAACTATCCTTCGCTAAATTAATGTTTGGAAATAAAAGAAATTAAAGCCACATAATGAATTAAAGTTGCCTCCCCTCTCTCTTCTCTATTGAGCATTCTAAACAAACTATTTTCACCAAGTTAGATGAGATTAGTCTATGAATTGTGCAGTCTATCTTTATTTAATACAGTAAACCACTTGATAATTTACCCAAAGCAATTTACGTAAATTCATTAATCAACAGTGGGTGCCTCACAATGAGTTGAATGCATCATATCACGGTAAATTGCAACGGCACATAGGCCAATTTGGGTTAGGCGTATCAAGGAAACTAAAATTGTAAGTTACAGAAGACCCTTCATCGCAATCCTATATGTTGGGGGTTTTTTTATACCCAATAAATCTCGGACAATAATGTTACAGTTTTGGATTATATTTCATAGACTTCGGCCAATGAATGAAATAACTATTAACTCAATCAATTTATAGGCTCAACTCGAAAACAACTCGAGCCATTGGAAACAACTTAATTAGTTAATGTTGCTCATGACTACTATAACTCTTGAATGATCCTTTTAATATGCTTATCCATTGCTTTGTTTCTTGGCCTAATTGATGACATAATCTAACCTATATGTATGCTCATTTTGTAGTGTGGAAACGTGTGGTTTGTGAATGTGTTGAAGAAAGAACCTGTGGCTGCTTCCTTCTTCTCCTCCTTGGTGCCTTGCCTTCTCTCTGCCTTTGTGGCTGCTTCCATCTTGTGTTCCTTATGGATATATTAGAAGTTGTATTATAATATTAGTTGTGGGTTGGAGTAATTGTTTGATTGTGTTCGATATTGGTAAGTTGAATTGAGCC